ACAGACTGTGTTATGCACTGTTCATTGTGAAATACCCAGATTTTGAGTGGAGGGAGAGCCCCTGTGAATTTCTTGCTCTCTGCTCTAAGCTGGGCTGAGTGTTCTCTGTGCCCTCCATCCGAACAGGATTCCCATCCCAGTGTAGAATCTGCGGCGTACCAGGAGACGCTGTGGGTATCATTTTTGTAAGTTAGGAAAGGCCTCTGAAGGGCCTTTTGTGGTGTGCCTCTCTGTTGGCCGTTTGGTTGTCTGCGTGTTCTCACGTGTAAGCAGAGAGAGAGCTGGGGGAGTGGACCTGGTCACGGGTGTTGGCTTGGCGGGGCCGTGAGCAGGGTGCCGTGTAGAGAAAAGTGAAGGTATGAGCTGGGCGCCAGGCTTCCTCGTTTGATTTGAATAAACGAAAGCTGGTGGGCACTCCAGAGGCTGGGTGGGGGGACTTAGGCATAAATTCAGGTCTGTGGGGGCTGGTAAGTTGTATAGTTGTACCACTTGGACAGGCTGATTCGTGGGGCCTTTCCAGAAAGCTGCTGGTGTGTTTTCAGTAGGAAATGATGATGGCCGAGGGAGCAGAGGGAATTGAAAAATGAGGGCAGAATCTGAGAAATCGTCCTTTTCAGTGAAGTACTTTTTCCCCCCTGCATCCAAACGCAATGAACGTATATTCATCATAGAAAAACTCAACAGTGGGAAAACCAGTATGGATGGTTCATGCTCCTATCAGCCAGAGATAATCAGTATTTCTTCTCTGCTACCTATTTGAGATGCATTGAAAAGGTGGAATTTAGCGAAAGATTAATCACAAAATGCCTTACTTCATCATTAACTGCTTTCCACTTCTGTCACAGTTCCTAAACTCTGCTGTAATTTCAATTTTGTCTTTATCTATCTATCTATCTATCTGTCTGTCTATCTATCTATCTATCTGTCTATCTACATCTGGAAGGACTAGCCCTGAAGAAATGGCAAGAGGAGTACATCCGTCAGCGTCCCTATGCGGAATGTTAAAATCCATGGAGGTGGCTTTTGTTTCTGTTCTGTGACTCTCCGCCTGCTTTCCCTCATGGTTTTCCCTTCCCTTTGCCCTCATGGCTCCCTTCTTCATCAGATTTCTCTCAGTCATCAGGCAGTGGTCATTCTCCTCCTTGGCCCTCCAGGCCCGCAGACAGTGCTCAGATAAGTGGCGTTTCCTGAACGGTCAACAAGAATTTCCCCTCGTCTTTGGAAAATTGTGTTGGAGGAAAAAAAAAAAAATGCTCGTCTCCCCTTGGTACTTTACAGGGACCTGTTGGAGCAATTTTAAAATTAAGTTAAGAAACCTAATTTTTAGGTAAAAGGTAAAGTGGGCCGAAGTCTTTTACAATTCCAACAAAATGTCTAAGTGAGTGGGTACTTAGTTTCTGCTTATTTTTCCATCTGTTCATTGCATCTCGGGCAACAAGGAATGTTTTCTAGGCTGGTTTATTTTTTATTTATTTTTATTTTTTAAAGATTTTATTTATTTGACAGAGAGAGCAGGAACACAAGCAGGGGGAGTGGGAGAGGGAGAAGCAGGCTTCCCACTGAGCAGGGAGCCCGATGTGGGACTCGATCCCAGGACCCTGGGATCATGACCTGAGCCGAAGGCAGACGCTTAACGACTGAGTCACCCAGGCGCCCTCTAGGCTAGTTTAAATGCTGTCCTTTAGCTGGTAAATCCAGTTCTGCCACCTCAGAGCAGGGGCAGCAGCTCTTTCTAAAAATGATTGACCGTTTCTCATGATCTTAAGTGAACCATTTTTTTTCATCCATTTGATTTTGAAGGCCACTAAAATTTATACTCCTCGAAATTTAAATGGAGGTCATTAATTGTGAAGAAGAAAAAAAGATTTTTCAGCCTATTACTTGCAATGACTAAAATAAATAAAAGGTAAGCCAGTACCTTTTGGATAAGATCAATAGATTTAAATAAAAAATTTACACCCACTGAATGGTTGAATGAATGAACAAATGAATTTTGGTTTGTGGCGTATGTCAGCGAGCTGACCTGACTGGGCTTGAGGCATTTAGCTCTCTTGCAGGTTTGGATGCCTGGGTGAGTGTGAATGTCCCCGGTGGGGAGGGCAAAGTGGCTCAGACTGGTATAACATTCTGCAGTTAGGCCTGTTACTTGACGTGAACTCATGTGATGGCCTTCCCTTTCCTGATTACATAAGCAAGAGAAACCCAACAGAATACAGAGGGTTAGAATTCAACATAGGGAATTCCCATCTAGGTTGGCTGTGTTGTGCTTCAGAAACAAACAAAATCTCAGTGGATTAGACCACAGAGATTTATTTCCTTGTTCATGATACACGTCCAGCATTTGTTAGCTGGGGAACAGTGCTCTTCATGGGTCACTGAGAGGCCCCCGATGATGACCTCTAACTCTAACGTGTGCCATCATCACTGCCGTAGGGGAGAGAAACGGGACATGTGGTGCGTTGCTCTTGAAGGCTTCTGCCTAACTCCAGACTGTGGAAAGGAGTGCCTATCATTGCCCAGAAGGAAGAGAAATAAGATATTTGAGAACAGCCTTTATGACCACAGTACACCCCATTCATCTACCTTAATGATCGTGAGGCTCTGGGGCAATAAAAGAATCCTTCCTCTTAGAGGTCCTGGCAGGGAGTCTCCCGTCCAGCTGCTGGTGCTGCACACCATGCACTTGATTCATGGGGTATCCCTCTTGAGAACGTAGCTCACCTAGCCACTTCATCATTATTAATTGTTGTGGGTTGAAGATAGGTTGAAGTCCTAACCCCAAGAGCGTAAAACTGTGACCTAATTTGGAAATAGGGCCTTAGCAGACATAGTCCAGTGAAGAGGTGACCATCTGGGGGGCCCTGATTCAATATGTCTGGTGTCTTTATTAAAAAAAAAAAAAAAGGAAATTGGGACACACACGTAGGGAGAACACCATGTGATGACGAAGGGCATAGGTCAGGGTGATGAAACAGGAGCCGAGGATTGCCAGAGACTGCCAGTGAACCTCTAGCAGCCAGGGGACAGGCATGGAACCCGCTCTCCTTCACAGCCCTCAGCCAGAACCAGCCCTGTCGACACCTTGATCTCAGACTTCTGGCCTCTAGAACTGAGACCCTAAGTCTCTGTTGTTGAAGCTGCCCAGTTGGTGATACTTCAACCTTAGCAAACTCATCCACTCATCAGCGTACTTTGTATCATTTTTCCTGGTCCTAGCAAGCACTGCTACAGGCGAAATCAAAACAAGAGCCACCTTGGGGAAGTCTTGAGTCCTCCCCACATGCTGTTCACAGAGAAATTCTGTTTGAGTAATCTCGGTGATTTCCCCCCACCCCCTGAAAGTAGCTTTTAGCAAATGTTTCTCAGGTCACAGCCCTGGAAATGAAGAGTAAAATCTGTTAGTGGAAGCTCAGCATTAGCAAGAAGGGGAATTTAGGGGACAGTACTAGCAACATGAACAGTCTGTCTTTATTATACTGTTGCAGGTGGTTATCAAGAGAGAAAATATTTTTGCGGGATAAAAAGCCTTGGGGGCAGGAGTTGGTTGTATCCGTGATGGAGGAAGGGAGAATTGATAGGTATAAGTGCTGGCGGCTGCCACCCGTGATGCTTCCGTTGCTGTGGCAATATCTGGTCTTTGGGGCAGGCGGATTTTGCATCATCCATGACTCTCCGTAAAGATGCTTTGCCAAATAATTTTACTGCTTTGGAAAACTTTTATGTAATTGATGCTTACAAATTAAACTGCTTTGCTAAACTGTATGTCTGGATATTTTAATTGTAAACCTACTTTTTTTTTTTTTTTTTTACTATCGCCATAGAGAAGGATGCTGTGGACACTGTCAGGCATTCCACGGTTGACCCTGTTGGTTATATGTAACCGCGTTGCTGTGTGACCGGGTACCAGGCTGTGAAGTTCCAGGTGCTGGTCACCTCCTGTGCTCTCCCCTGTGTGTGTTGTCATGGGGGCATTCTTGTGCTTGCTTTCCTCTCTCTACATACATCATAGATGCACACACCCTGTGGATACAGGCTAATATTTTTTTAGGGTCAGGATCTCCATAATATAAAAAATTCTGCGTAGATGCTTGAAGCAAAGGATTTGTTAACTGATCAGTGCTAGAGAAGGAGGTGCTCAGGGGTTACCAAGCTATCCTTTTTCCCCAAATGAAGTTCTCCCCTTCCAGTTACTTGTGAACCCCAGATTTTGTGTCTCCTTACCTGATGCTTCTGGTGCTGAGGCCTACTGACTGGTGGTAAAATGGTTTATGTTTCCAGGAACTGGACCATTCTGACGGTCTCTGAGAAGCCAACTCAGTGTGAAATTCTGTACGCAGGTGTGTTCTGAAGCACACAGAATTCACATGCACCCATGTTCTTGATGCCCTTTTATCCACTGATTGGATGTGCTGTGGAATTTAACATTTCAGAGTGGTAGAATTCTTACTCTAGTCCACACATGTTCTGATGGTGCCTGGCTTTTTTGTAAAGATTTGTATGTATTTCTTATTTTGCAGTGTTTTTTTTTTTTTTAAGACAAGTTATATCTGATTATGTTGGCAGAACTATCATAAGTGCTTTTTAAAGTTAGTAAATGCTGTTCTTTAGGCTAATTCTTCTACTGTTTTAGAGTAAGTAAGTTAAAGTTAGTAAATTTTGTGGATACATGAGCTATCCTGAAATTATATGCCCAACCTGTTGGTGAAATACTTTATTTATTCTAATTAACTAAATACATTAGACTTTCTTTATAGCCACCAAAGAGGAATATATAGCAAGAGTACTTTTTGAAAATTTTCTTATCCGGGGTGAAATGGATGCTAGAGATTGGTTGATCTTGTGCTAAAGGACTGGTAATAACAGCAGTTGGACTCATTGGAAGAGGGCATCATAGGCAAACATAATTATCCTGCTTTTCACACTTAATTGCAAAGCATTTCTGGGTTGCCATGTTGCAGAAACGGACTTAAAGATTCAGTTTGAGGTTTTACATGGCCTACATGATGGCTGAAAGAAGCAAGTGGCCGTTTCTTTGTAATTTGAGATCATCTTTTATAGTTTCTCTTGATGGTGAAAATGAAGGATGGATCTATCTGTACGTGGGTCTGTGGCTAGGTGGTTTTCAACACAAAAACTTGGCGAGCGCTCTGATGGGCCCTTTCTCATTCCTAACTCAGCACTGAGTTAGGGAATTGGAACAGAGTCACTTAGGGCAGGGAAAGCGGAAGAGAAAAATTTAAGTCAGGGATGCTAAAATCTCTTTGAGAAACAATAGATTGTTCTTACACTGTTGCAGCATTTCCTTGGGATATTAGGGCGCTGTTTGGAATTCTGTTTCCAGAGTCTGCTGTCGGGCACAAGGTCATTCCCTTTGTTGGGGGGAGCTTGTACTTTTGCCTCCTTGTGTTCTTTTCCACAGGTTCTGCCTCACATACCTCTAGAGGATTATTAGGTACCAAGGGTTGTGGACTCTTCTCTCCTTTAACTAGATACTGCTTGGCTTTATGGTTGCCACGGGTTTCTATTTTTTCTTTGTTTGTTCCCGTTATATAACCAACCAGTAGAGCTGTCTCCCTAGCTAGCATTATTACGGAGTTGAAGGAATGGACCCTGTGCCCGAGAAGTGGACGTGCTATTTAGAAAGCGAAGACTAGCATCCCAAACAGTAGATAATAGGGATTCACTTGTGGAATTCTACCGAAATGAAGGCTAGCTGTGTGTATATATCTGTGTTGAAAGACAGTATGTTGAGACCTGTCCTGTAAGTGTTTTGCCTTGCTGATGAGAGTAAATACTGCCCTTAAATCTAATCTCAACCCTCTTGTTTACTTAAATGAGGAAAAAATACAAAAACCCAGTTCATAGTACAATAAATTACCAAAGCTTTATACACAGTTATCCTGATAGACCTAGTGTTGTTTTCCAGTAAGCCTGTGAACATTTTCCTTACAATCTGATCGTAATAGCAGTTCTTTGTAATTTCTGGTCATGTGCAGAAGCATCTTCAGGATGTGATACCCTTTGTGGTGAGCCTCTCGATGTGTTAAATCCCCACCTGTAATATTCTTATTAATTTTTGGTCTTAAGACGTTTAAGAGAAGTCATAAGAGGGTGGTTTTAGGGGGCTCCTTGAAGTAATTTTTAGTGAGCTGAATTTTTTACCAACTTCAATTCTTACTCTCTCACTGTCCTAGATAACTGAGCTTTAAGGTACATAAAATTTCTTTAGATTTATCTTAGTTTTATAATGATTCTTAATAGTGCTGTTTGTTCTTTCCATCTGATTCTGTGCCCCTCTAAATCTCTTTAATCCAGCTGTGCAGGGGCGCCTGGGTAGCTCAGTCAGTTCAGCATCTGACTTTGGCTAAGGTCGTGATCTTGGGGTCATGAGATTGAGCCCAATGTCGGCCTCAGCTTGGAGTCTGCTTGTCCCTCTGCTCCCCCACACCCGCTTGTTCTCTCTCTCCCTCGCTCAAATAAATAAATAAAAATCTTTTTTAAAAAATCCATCTGTGCGATCACATTACTGTGTTAAGATCTGGTGCAGTCATTTTGGTGAATTCCAATTAACTTTCTTCTGGTTGGAGCCATAGACCTATTTCTCTTTTCATTATTCTGACTCACATCATGAAGGAAGTAAATCTGTAAATGGAAAGAATGTTGGTGATGATGCCCAGGAACTTTCTGGGTTATATGCTGGTTCTTTTCTTGTCTTTTGTCTCATTTTCACTCATTTGCTCAGCATTACCTTACTTGCTACCTAGTACTGTGTATTGAAGGTAACACAGTAAATACTTGTAGCCTGAATGAATTAATTAAACATGCCTGAGGCCCTTAACAGGAAAATGCAGCTCTTATTATTTGTCAGTTTCTGGAAAAAAGGGCTTTTATATCAAGTTTTTCTGCGAATGCCTAAACTTTGCCATGTTATAGGAGTTACTGTAAGTTGTGACTTTTGTTTTGATATCAGGAGGGTCGGGGGTGGGGGAACCTCCTTAAGTAAATGATGTTCACCATTCTAAATTTCTAAATTGTCTGTTAGGATTGTTGGAAAATACACAAAAATCCACCAGGCAAATTGACATCGTTTACCTTCTAGATCTTTCTAACATTCGGTTACTTCCCATGCTTTCAGTCTTCTCCTGAGGCCAGGTTCTGGTCCTGCTCAATTAAGATAGAAATCAAAGAGGGGGGGTTGCCTGGGTGGCTTAGTCCATTAAGTGTCCAACTCTTGATTTCAGCTCAGGTCATGATCTCACATTTGTGAGTTCAAACCCGCATCATGCTGTGCCCTGGGTGTGGAGTTTGCTTGGGATTCTCTTTCTCCCTCTCTGCCCCTCTTCTCCCCCCGTCTCCATGTGCTCTTCTCTCTCTAAACAATAAAAAAAAAAAAAAAGAAGAAGTCAAAGGGGAGCCTGGGTGGCTCAATCGGTTAAGCATCTGACTCTTGAGCTCAGTTCAGGTTTTGATCTCAGGGTTGTGAGTTCAAGCGCCACATTGGGCTCCACACTGGGCGTGGAACCAACTTAAAAAGAAAAAGACTTGAACAAAAATAGAAATCAATAACAGAGATTGCCTACAAAATCTATACGATAAATAGTCATCTCTCATTCAGTCATACTGGATGTTTCTAACTCCTGTCTAGGAGAAATTTCTAGATTAGTCCAGTTCATAAAACTGACTTTCCCACTGTAGAACACAGATATTAAAACCTGTCCTCTTTTTTTCAAATGATTCTTTCCAAGAATCAAACACTTTGTCCTCAGGCCATTTTACAAAAGCAGAATGTGAAAATTAATGTAAATATTAGGTGAGCTGTATTTCTGGGGGGGTTCCCTTATTTTTTTCAACACTTTACCTTATAAATCTCGAGCTGTTATCTTGATGACACATTAAATAGAACATTTATTTAAGGATAGTCTCCTCACTTCTGAAAACAAACTTAACTTCTCCGTTGCAGTACACAATTTCCATACCTTAAAGTTCTTAAGTATATATGCACATTTCAGAAATGCTGGAGTGTTTTGCATAGGTACACTTTATCTATGCAGGGTCAGTGTATTTAAGTCCTGGGTGGTAAAGAATATACATTTTGGTCATGGGAACCTTTACATAGTCAATCCTAAAAGTTTTTTTTTTTTTGTCTAATTTAAGTATGTAAAATGAACTCTAGAAACGTTTTCTGAATATGTCCCTACAGAGTTCTGTAGAATGTAGGAGAAACCATTCTCGTCCTCAGACTTTGGGTGAACTGTGAACACTCCAGTAAAGGTGGCATTTTCCAGACATTGGTTGTCCAACTGTGCTGTCCATCTCTGAAAAAAGAATTTTCTATAAAGTAGTTCTTAAATATTTTATATAAATCTTTTCAATTTTTTTCCACTTGTTTGCATTCAGTTTAGTCAGAAGCTTGTGTCAGTGGATGGTGTCTTAGGCATTCTACGAAAATAATAAATTATCCTTACATAGTTTATATTCTTTATCCTGTTGATACCATGTAGGCCTCTAGCAGCAGCAAACAAAGTGCTCCAGTAGCTGGAAGAGTGAAACCCAGCAACCCATGGTCTCATGAAGTTAACAGTAATCCCAATGGCTCTGGATGTGAGTTGATGGCTGATCCACAGCACATAGTTGTGCTAATTGAGACGGGTCCCTTTGAATACACCTTCAAATATTAAATACCGCTATGCTAGACGTTGGGGCTGCAGTGATGAAGACATGAGCTCTTCCTCATGTATATTACCTGCATTTGGGGATTTTCATAGATCGGACCAGTGGAGACTTTGCCAGAAGGCCAAGGATATATGGGAACCCTTCATTGTTGTTTGACAATAATTGTATAACCTTTTTACTGGTGCAGAATAAGCATCTGCAACCTAACATTGACACAAAAGGAATTTGTGCTGATATTTAATTGGAGAGCTCGGAGAGCTATTTTAAAACACTTTTTTTTTTTTTTACTGAACCCTTATAGTTTGACATTGCTCAGGTTTAACTTTGTCCTCATTTAACTTTATCCTGTACAAATGCTAAGGAGCTTAATAAAGGTCTATATGATCAAAAAGGCAGCTCTTAACCCAGCATGAAATTCCATTCTCATTTATTTCTGTTTGCCCACTGCCAAAGAATTCAGACAACTGCATGCTTGACTTACAAATAGAGGGCAAAGCGTTGGTCAGTAATTGTGAATTTATTTTACATAAACTTCTTTCAGCTCCATCTTTTAAACACAAGAGGAAAGAAAGTAAAATGTACTGTTATTCTTCTAGTTCGTGCTTCCTGCCGGTGGGGTCCATAGAGTGGAATTGCTCTAGGCATCCCAGAGGATGCCATCAAACCCGTAGGTGACATTTGTCCCCGTGATCATGAGTTCACATCCGTACGACAGGACATTGCTGAGCAAATTAATTAGGTTCTGACTTTATGTAGCAGAATTTAAACTCCAATTCACAACACTTTTCATGTTCCCAGGCTATCCGTAAATTTTTGATTATATTTTTGAGGGGTGCCTGGCTGGCTCAGTGGGTGGAGCGTGGGACTCTCGATCTCAGGGTTGTGAGTTCGAACCCCACATTGGGCGTGGAGCCTACTTTAAAAAAATTGTAAATATCAGGGCACCTGGGTGGCTCAGTTGTCAAGCGGCTGCCTTCGGCTCAGGTCATGATCCCGGGGTTCTGGGATCGAGCCCCACATCGGGCTCCCTGCTCGGCGGGAAGCCTGCTTCTCCCTCTCCCACTCCCTCTGCTTGTGTTTTCTCTCTCGCTGTGTCTGTCTCTGTCAAATAAATGAATAAAAACTCTTTTAAAAAAATTGTAAATATTTTTGAAACTGAGGTCTAAAGGAGTTTTGTAGTATGTATTTCCACTTGCTTCCTAATGCATCATACAGTTTGTCAACTAGAAAACTTCAAACCAGATACACAATTGAGTCAGTGTGCTGGGGTTTTAATTTTGATGAATATCCTTTCATAAGTCATGTGTGCACGCACGTCTTTGTTTTGCTGGGAAGAACAATGAGTAAGCCATGGGCCGGGCTCTTTTGCTCTAACACAGATGGTGGGAAGAATTCTCATAGAACTATTTAAAAAAAGAAAAACAAAACAGAAAAAGGCAATAATGATAATCCTGTGCCCTGTTCATCCTCTAAGATTCATTTACAGCTGAGCATGATCTTGAATATTACAAGGAAATAAGCTTTTAAAATCAAATTACAGTAGAACTTTGCCAATTCATGCCTGACTAATTTGCCCACCCAGTAGGTAGTTCTTACTGAAATCTTGCTGTTCTCCTGCTGACTTTAAGAAGAATGGAATAATAGGCTCTGGGGAAGGCTCATGTTCCTTTTTCTTTCAAGGTTCATTGTGAAAAATAAAATGCTATACCTTAAAGTATCATAAATAAAAGAGAACACAAATCTGTCTGGCAAACCATGAAGGGAAAGAAAGCATCTGCTGAAAGTCTGGGTTCTGTCTTCTTTCTTATTTTTGACTGTAGGATGTTTCTAAGAAAACTGACCATAAATTTTCATATTGTAAAATAAAATTATATAAAAGCAGTAAACAGTTGAGATAAATGTCAGACAGCCTGTGTAAGGCTGTGAGGTGGGCTTTTAACATGATTTAGTAATAGTTTTATGGCAGAATTTTGTTCTGTCATAAAAGAAAGTGACTTAACTGTTTTCTGTAGTTTGTGTCATCTACTGAGACCTTCGGTTTGCTATTTACAAAGTGAAAAAATTTAATTCAGTATTGACTTTATTTCTAAAACTCTGGTAGAGGCTGACCAAATATGTACCAGTAGCACCATTGTAGGGTTTTTAAATTTTATTTTGAGGTCCTACTGAAAGTGTTTTAAACCTTGAACATTCATTATATAACTTTTTCTGCAGTCTAGATGAATATTACTAACTTGCTACCAAAACCCCAAAAGGCTCAGATAACTAACGGTGTGTACTTTCTCTGGTGAGAAGATAGAAGTATCAGATAAACAAGCTCTTCCAGTGATGTTGTTTTCAGTATAGATTCAGCTTGGTCCCTTGACACCACACATCCAGAGGTATAAAAATAAGTGTCCAGACCAAAGAAAAAGGTCCATAATTAGGTACCATCTCTGGGTCTAAGTATAGTTATAATGCAAAGTGTTTGCTCTTTTATTCTGAGAATTGAAACATTTCTTCCACCGTACCACTAAATTCGTTTGCATACTCATTTATCTCAATTAGCTGTAAAAAGGACCTACATCACTGCATTGACAAGCGTGCTAGATCATAGGTGAATGCTTCCCCAAGCAAATTTGACAGCAGATTGCTAATGTTTACCAAGGATCACTTTTTGCAGGAAGTAGCTCACAATCAAGGTTGTTCTCTGATAACTTCACTCTCAGGTGCATCTGCAGAGGTGCTGAGTGAAGGCGGAGGGGCAGCAGGAAGTGAGCAGTTTTCTCACAGGAGATCGCTGGTACCCCGGGGGACTCTTGGGTGGCAGCCTTGGGGTGCATGGCCAATATGAATGTCATGTCTGGGTAGGAGGAAAGGTTGAGAGTCAGCGAAAGCATTCCACTTACTGAATCCTTCATGTTTTGATTACCAGAATCTGCTTTTTTAAAGAGCTTTTAAAGGAACGTTCCAAACAGAAGTGTGTTTTGCACACAGCCTGGGAAGAGCATACTTCTCAAGGGTGTAAGATGAGTCAGCCGCACACTCTCAGAGGCCCATTCCTCTAGGCACAGTATCTGCTAAGGGTGCTAGCAACTGAAGTGAGAGAAGTCTTCAGTAACGAGGGAAGGAAGCATCCACTTGACACCTCATCACCACCAAGTATTTATAAAGCATCTTTAGTGTCCAAGGCAGGAGAAGGTCATCTGTGGATTTTACATATTTTAGGACTATCAGAGTTAAAAAAAATCCCGTGAAATTTGTATGTGCTAAGTAGGAATATCTCTACAGCTCTCTACAAGGTTTCAAATTCTGGCTTAAATTATTTATGTACACATGTATGTCATCTCTGCACCCAGCGTGGGGCTCACACTCACGCTCACGACCGCGAGGTCAAGAGTCACGTGCTCTACCGACTGAGCCAGCCAGGCGCCCTTCAAGTTCTACCTTAAATTAAATTCTACCTTGATTGCTATCATCAGTCTGAGGTCTTACTCCAGCATCGCATACCACTGATATTCATAATTCCTTTGGTAAAGTTAATAGAATTGACTTTCAGGAGCGTCATTCCTTATCTCTCAAGTACCCCTGTAACAATGAAAACTAAGATATTTAATATCCATCTGTTTGTGTTATTAGAACATAATACAACTGCCAACTCTCTAAGTGGTCGGACAGATATTTTAATAAATTAATACTACAAACCCATAGATTGGCATTAGACTCTGGATGCTTGGAGCCTATTACATGCCTAGCGCAAAGCAGGCGGCACAATATTTGTTGCATGAATGGATAAGTAAAGAAATGACTAATGGGCCAACCATTGATTATACAGTTTAGTAATCAGGAAGTTCAGCAGGGATGTGCGGTGACCAGATTTCTTCTGCTAATCTTATTAGCACAAAATATTATAAAAATAGGTCCCCATTCATTGTTTGGACGATCTAAAATAGATCCAAACCTATTGTTTGGCCTTCCTAACGGCAGGACAAAATAGATCATACTTCCTGTTGTCTGCACGACACACTACTCTTGCGGAGGGAATCTCGTTCTTTTGGCAAATGTAGAACAGTAGCGGGCATGAAAACTTGGAAGGTCACTCCAAATGTATATAAACAACATGGGCCAGGCCCAGAGCTGGTAGAGCATCTAAAAATAGATAAGTAATCCCTTATCTTGTTGCATATGAAAATAGTGTTTATATGAAGCAACCTTATTAGAAATGACGTGTGAGAAAAGAATGTCTGCAGTGTCTTCTACAGTTTGGAGAGAGAAAACATGTTAGCATGACTTTGAAGCACGGGATTAGTCCTGCTGGAATGGGGGCTGAAATTGTAGCCAGTTTCCCTTTGATGAAAAGAAACTGTTGATTCCTGTAGACATGTAACATTCTGTCTTGTAGAGACTTGTCCTCTGGCCACAAAGTAGTACCCTGTTTTTCTGCTGGGTGTCCAGTGGGAAACTGGCTGGTGATGATCATTGAAATAGAGGTATGTTAGCACACTGCCTCTCCCCTTCCCCCCCATTATCTTAGCTGAACACACCAAAGGTCTATTTCTCACTCCTGTTACATGCCAGCCCAGGTCACTGACCCAGACCCACAGAAGCTGGTGCAGGAGCTTTTCCCAGCCTCCACTCAGGGGTGATACTTGTCAGTCACACCTCCTCTGAATGCATTGGCCAAAACTCTGGCCTGGGAAACGTAGTCTTCTCTCCATCTAGGAAGGAGAGAGAACTAAAAAGTGGTGAGCGATGTTTGTAATTCGTGAGCAATATTTTTATATTAGAACCAGCGTATGGTATAATACATCCTTCGAACTGATTTAATTAAGTCCAATTCCACGTCCATGGGCTACTTTCTGAGCCCTGAGAATAACTGAATGGCTCATTTCCCGCTGTACCAGCTGACTGGCACACAACGAATGGATTTTTGCCTCTGGTGTACTGTTGGCCTAAGAAAGCGCTCGTTTTTCTGTCTGGTATTTTCCAAGATGCTAATCTGATATATCAGTTTTTAAAACTGAAGCGTGGCTGGGTGCAACTAAGTCAGGACAAAAAATTTGCCATTGATAATTGTTGATGGACAGGAATTTCCAAGGATTTTCCCCCACGGATACCCTGAACAGCAGCTAGGGGTGGTCAAGATAAAAAGTATTTAATTTTCCCTTTCCTGCCCCTCCTACAGACCACAGCACGCATGTGCATGCACACACACGCACATACGTACACCCCTCTCCCTGCATATTTAGGAAACAAAAATCCAAGCTGTCCTCTCCCACACTGGACAGAGCCAGCAACGAAGTTGGGATGCACAGTCTGTGTGGCCATCAGTTACCTGTAAGCCTCACGTGGGAGAGAAGCAACATGAAAGAACACAGGCTTGGGGGCTCACAGGAGGCTCAGTGAGAACTTGGAGTGCCAGGTGCCTTCCCGTGTGCACAGGAGGGACCCGTGGGTACCAGTGGCCTCACCTGCAAAAACATGCAGGGAAATTAAACGGTACGTTCC